CACTGTTAAACCCAGGGGTATGTGTGCCTAGATAGCCAAGAGAGCCACTGAAAAATGAATATTTCTAATGGCACCTTTCTAGGAGGCAGAGAAGCCAAGATCCTGTGGCCCAAGCTAGGAGCAAGAGAAGGTGCCAGGCCAGTCAGAGTCAAAGTTCTCAGGGGGCCTCAAGGGTGTCCCATTGTGGTAGTTAAAGTTGTGTGTCAACTTGATTGGCCTGTGGTTTTGAGTGGCATGAAAACTGGATGTAGTTATTCCCCATGATGAGATTGGATGTGGTGTAATTAACTCCATGGTGGAATCTGCTGTTAGCAGCTAATTAATTGCCTTCAGGGTGTGGCCAAATCCTAGTATATATGGAGAAGCTTTGAGAAAGGTCTCTAGCTTTTTGGCATATTTGGATCCTGCATTTGGCCAAGTCTTCATCTTCAGTTCCTGGACTTGAACCAGTAGCCTGCTATGTTGCCTGGTGATCTTGGGATTGTGCCATTTTACCTGCTGACTTTGGGCTCATCAGCCTCAGCAGCCAACAGCTGCATGAGTTAGGAGATGCCTCAAGCTCCAGAGAGCCCTAGAACAAGAGGTAGAGCTAAAGCCCAAAGTCAAGGGGACTTACCCAACCCCTAGAGCTAGCACTTTGAATTTGCACTTCTAGCCTCCTAAACTATAAAATAATAAATTCCTGTTTGCTAAACCCATTCACTTGTGGTATTTCTGTTATAGCATCACCAGAGAATTAAGACACTCAACCACTTTCCCACTCTTGAGGTTAAACACAGGCCAGCCTGTATACTTGAGGAGGAAGGGAAAGGACATCAGATTTCTCTATGAGAATGAAGAGTTATAAGACCAAGGAAAGGAGGCAGACAAGAAACCAAGAAGTACGGAGTTTTAGTAAGTTAATTTGACCCAGAGCTCAAATCTGGGTCAAGAGAAGGTAGAGGGAAGCAGTGTGGGGAAAGCATGTGTAAGGGGTATAGAGTTCCTGTGTGTTACAAACAGCTAAAGTGCTTGGCTGCTACCCGCAAGGTTGGAGGTTCAAGTCTCCCCAGAGGCACCTCAAAAGAAAGTCCTGGCAATCTACTTCTGAAAAATCAGCCATTGAAAACTCTGTGGAGTATAGTTCTACTCTGACACATATGGGATCACCATAAGTCAGGGTTAATTTGTTGGCAACTGTTTACTGGTATGAGGAGTATGAGGTCTTTGCATGAAGTAAAGTCAGTCCTTATGGAGTTGGAGGACCAAATAGTAAGGACTTCTGTCTTAGTCAAGGTTCTCTAGAGAAATGTAACCAATGAGATATATGTTTCTGTGTGTGTGTGTATAAAGAGAGAGTTTCTTTAAGGGATTGACTCACTCAATTGTGGAAGCTGATAAGTCCAAAGTCCATACATCAGGCAACAGGTTGGAGACTTCTGCAGGCTTTTACCCCAAAATCTGTAGGTTAGGCAAAAGGAAGAGTGGAGAGTAGAGGGTTCTGCCAAAATATCTATTTATAGTCTGGAGGCAGGCTATACTCTTTCAATTGGTTGATTGATTATATTGGATTATATTACATGACAAACTGTTTAGCCAAACTACTGGCAATCACAGCTAGCCAAGGTGACATATAAAATTAACCATCACAGTTCCCAAGTGTGGCAGATACACACACACACACACAATCTGCTTTCAGTTCAAGAAAGAAGCCATATATTAATTTGTTTGGAGACACATGGATGATTGAAGCAGAAGCAATCTAAAGTGCTAGTAGCCTGGGGCCAAGTGTGGGCAGGAGTGAGCAGAGTGAGACCAGGCATGGAACTGCTGCTTATGGGGGTTCAGGACTGGCATCACCATCACCTGGGTGCTTGCAAAGATGCAGATTCCCAATTCTCCTTAACCAGAATTCCTATACAATGATCAGATAAGTACATTTTTAGCAAGATCCCCAGATGATTCTTAGGTGTATGAACATTGGAGAACCAGAGACTTCTGATTTAGGATGGATTTTGTGGTTGTTAGGTTCCTGTTTCTAAAGTATTTCTGTATTATGGGATTGTTCAACTCCAGCAGGCCAGAAACACCATTTTTCATGGCAAGGCCCCTCTTGACAAATAGGACTTTGAACTGACTGTTGTTGTTGTTGTTATGTGCCATCAAGTTGGACCCGACTCATAGTGACCCCTCCTTGCGTTTCCAAGGCAGTATCACTATGGAAGTAGATTGCCCCATCTTCCTTCCGAGGAGTGGCTGATGGGTTTGAACTGCAAGCCATCTGGTTAGCAGTCAAGTGCCTTAGCCTCTATGCTACCAGAGCTCCTGAACGACTACAGAGACCAAATACCCAGATAAATCCTTGAAACATATTATTACAGAGGGTAACAATAGGTCTGACAAGGAAGGAATGCCAAAGACACAGCAAATGCATCATGACCCATGAGAAAGTATTCAGAAGGACCAGAAGACTGCTCACGACTTCAAATGTCAAATATCTGTCTATCCAGGCACAGAGCAAGGTCATAAAGTATACCAGAAGTTCTAACACAGAGCGTTACATATGCTTGTAGAAAGCCTTTATGCCTGGTGTATAGTCAAAACCCACTGCCATCAAGTCAATTCCAAGTCATAGCATGGGTTTCTGAGGTGGTAAATCTTGACAGAGTAGATTACCCCATCTTCTTTCCAGGCAGTGGCTGGTGAGTTTGAACCACCAACCTTCTAGTTAGCAGTCAAATGTCTTAGGCACTGTGCCACCAGAGCTCCTTTGGTGCGTACTAAGCACCCTTAAATATCTGTTGAATAATTGTGAAATTGATATTGAATGCTAATAGAATTCAAGGTCAGATTATAGTGACAAGGTATCCTCCCTTTTGTCAGTTTGTCATGCTATGTGATGCTAGAAGGTATGCCGCTGGTATTTCAAATATCAACAGGGTCACCCATGGTGGACAGTGTCAGCAGAGCTTCTAGACTAAGTTGGGCTAGGAAGAAAAACCTGGAAATCTAATTCCAAAAATTAGCCAATGAAAACCTTATGGATCACAACAGAATATTGTCTGATACAGTGCTGGGAGATGAGCCCCCTAGGTTGACACTCAAAATACACAGTGGCCTCAACAATGGATTTGAGTATACCAACAATCGTCAAGATGGGGCAGGACCAGGAAATGTTTTGTTCTGTTGTATGTGGATCACCATGAGTCAGAGTCAGCTTGACAGCAACTAACAAAAACTTCAAAGAAACAGTCTTGGTAGGAAGGGGTCTGAAAACCAAAAAAATCAAACTCACTGCTGTCAAGTAGGTCCCTACTCGTAGCGACCCCTCCTTGGATTTCCAAGGTGGTATCACTATGGAAGTGGATTGCCCAGTCTTCCTTCTAAGGAGTGGCTGCTAAGGAGTAGCAGTCAAATGCCTTAGGCACTACACCACCAGAGCTGAACACGTGTATATACACATGTATTCTACACCTGCATATACACATGTATAGAAACTAAATGCGTATAAATGTAGGTGGGGAGCAACAGAGAAGGCAAATGATATTAGTGGAGTGGTTTACTTTATATCTCCTGGCCAGAAGGAGAAGAGGGTTGGAAAGATCCCCAAAGTGTAAATTAGTGTGTTTGCACAGATTTCTCTTCAGTGGACTCAGATTTTGAAGATGACATGCAAAGGGTAAATAGATGCTCCCTCCAGTGAATGTAGGAAAATGGTTCTAAACTTTCAGAGTAGCATTTAAAAAGCTGTAGCACAAAATGACCTTGCCAATACTAACAATCCTCACAATCATAATCAGAATAACGATGATAAGCTGGCTCTTTCAAAATATATTTAGAGGGAAAAGAAGGTCAAGGCAGGCAGGGCTGCTGTTGAGTGCAATATTGATAAATGATTCAGAGAATGTCAAGTTCTTCAACTGCTTTTTAACTTTTACTTTACTGTGAAGAATGATTTTTGGATTGAAAAGAGTGCGATTAAGTTAGATAAGAAATAACAGAAACTAAAGATTGGTGAAAAGATCAGAAAGGAATAGTAACTGCTCTCCCCTGACCTAGATAACTTACACTCCAAAATATAGAGACAGAAAGAGAAAAAGAGTTTAATCAATTGATGGCTTTTGAAGAATTGCGGAAAATTGGAAAATGAGTATGTGGCCAATCTGGAGCAAATTTTGAGAACAACATGACCACAAGAAACCAGCCTAGGGTCAATAAGAACAAATCATGTAAAACTGGCTTTAGTTCAATTTTTGACAAGGTTAATAGATCAGTAAAATGTGGCAATCCAAAACCAAAAAAGCCAAGCCCATTGACATCAATTTAAACGCATGATGGCCCCATATGTTACAGAATAGAACTGAGCTCCATGGAATTTTCTTGGTGGTAATCTCTATGGAAGCATATTGCCAGCCCTTTCTTTTACAACACCCCTGAGTGGGCTCAAACTGCCAACCTTTTAGTTAGTAACCAAAAGTAAAACTTTGTGCCTCCCAGGGAGCTCTTATGGCACCCAATAGACTCAAATTCCACAAAGTATTTCATTTTCAAATCCTTCCTTGATGTTCTCATAGACAAGATGTAGAAATATTTGTTGGATGTTATTTGAAGATGATGAAGAGAGAGAGCTGATGGAACAACCACATGAAGACACTGATTAATAGATCAGTGTTGACCCAGTGCCCAAGGAGGAGCCATAGGGCCTATCCAGTACAATATATTTATCATAGACTTTATGTAGAAGGAATATTTATATTTGTCGTTGACCTAAAGTAATTGGTTGATGAGATAGAGTAATCAGATTCTAAAAGATCTTGACAGGTAGAATCATTGGACCAGACTAGCTAGACTAAATATAATAGCAAATTATATTAAATCCTGCTCTTAGACCCACAAAAACAAAAGGATAGAGAAGAATAAGTGAGAAAGATCTATCATTAGGAGCTTTGCTCGGCCACAAGCTCAATAAGTCAAGAGTGAAATTGAAGTGACTGCCAAAACATTAATGAAACTAAATATAGCTAACAGGTTAAAAAAAAAAAAAAAAGAGGGTTAGCCCTGCTCTCTCCTGCATTGGTGGACCAACCTTGGCATGGCATGTTCAGTTTGGGGGATTCTATAAGGGATAGAAGTAGACTGGCTGTGACTCAGAAGGAGGGGTTCGTTTTAGAGAGACCTAAGTCAGGTCTGACTCGATGGCAAATAACAACAACAACAAATGTCATACAAACAACTGTTGAAGCAGTTAGGGATGTCAAGTTTGAAAAACACATGACTCTGAGAGATATAATAACTGTCTTCAAATATTTGATGATATGTCTCTGGTGGCATAGTGCCTAAGGCATTTCACTGCTAACCAGAAGGCTGGTGGTTCAAACCACCAGCCACTCCTCAGAAGGAAGATTGGGCAATCTACTTCCATAGTGATACCACCTTGAAAACCCAAGGAGGAGTCGCTATGAGTCACATCAGACTCAACAGCAGTAAGTATGGTTTGTTTGTTTGTTTGTTTGTTTGTTTTCAGTCACATAAAAACAAGATTTGCTCTTTTCATATGGACTGAAGGGCTAAAACAGGACTGCTAAAGGGGCAAGGAGGCTGCACCTTCTGACCTCCTCTAACCCCACAAAAGGAAGATAGAATCACCATCAGTAGCCCAAGGCCTATTCCTGCATGGCCAGACATGCTGCCTCCCTCCAGCCCTTTCACCAAGCTGGCACCAACCATTCTTCCCACAGCACCTACCACCTCTCTGCTGGGTTTGATAATTTGCTGCAGTAGCCACACAGAACTCATGGATTATGGGTTTATCAGGGCAGGAACAGGCTACAATTCAACTTCAGGAACACACTCAGTCTCTCTCAGCCTGCCATCTCTCAGCCAACAGTCTCTCTCAATCTCTCTCCCAGCAGTGCATGTGTCTCAGTGTCTCTCTCTCAGTGCATGTCTTTCACATCTCTCTCAGCAATGTGTGTCTCTTGCATCTCTCAGATGGCAGTGAGAGATTTCTTCTGCCTCTAGGAGGGTTCCTTTTGAACCTGGCAGAGTAGCCCAAACCAACCAATCCCAACATCAGAGTTCTATGCACCTGAGAGAGAGTGAACTTCCCAGAAAATTACTTTGTGCTGCTCCCATCAGAAATACCCCAGGTGGATAACTTTAACAATCAGGAGCTACTCAGTTGCTGACAGCAAATTCCACCATGGAGTTTACAAAGACTTATGGCTAGAAAAACCACACTACGTAATTTACTACACTGCAAGGACCATGAATGGAAGATTCTGGCAGACATTTTAAGAAAAAGAAATAATTTCTAGCAGTCAGTACTATCCCATGGTGGAATAAGTTTTTCCTAAAAGTTGGTGATCTCTTTGTCTGTGGAGCTGTTCAATTCCTGGCTGAAGAATGACTGGGCGCTGATTCTACAAACATAGTGAAGTATCTAAGAGGTCTGTCAACCTCACATCACAGATCAGATTCAACAGTCCCATAAGTAGATGCAGCAGTTTGCTTATGTTTCTTCCTCCTTGGCCTGCTCCTCACTGCTATTAATAATAGAATGTAGGACTTCCAGTAAGGTGGCAGAATAAGCGGACAAGCTACACAGACCCTCTTCAACAAAGAAAACAGAAACCAGTTGACAGAGATACAGAAGATAATCCTGGATCCCAGAGCTTTGAAAGGAAATATACACAAGTGCATTAGGCACTAAATAGTGGAAAACCTGAAAGACAACAGGACCTAAGAATAGGCTCCATCTGCGAAGGATGGCAGGGAAGTGCGGGAGGCTGACAACAGGAAAGGAGACAGGTGATGAGTGTTTAAGTGCTGCCAACTAGTGAATAGAGGAGCACTGTACCCTGCTTGTATAGATAACATACAAACAAAACAAAGAAAATGATTGTGGGAAAGTCACTCCAATATACAATCACCAATTAAATATAAACACAATATGTCACAATGCCTCAGAGACAACAGAGCATCACAGCCCACGCAAAGAAGCAAGATAAAGCAGGAGAAACAGGGGACCAGGATACAGGTTCAAAACACATCCCTGAAGAAGATGCAGCATTAGAACTCCCTGATAAGGAATTCAAAAGAATTATATTTAGGTATTGCAAAAATGGCAAGGAGGCACATCTCCTGACCTCCTCTAACCCAACAAGATGAAGACAGAATCACTATCAGTAACCCAAGGCCTATTACTGCAAGGCCAGACATGCTGCCTCCATCCAGCTCTTTCACCAACCATTCCTCCCAAAGCACCCACCACCTCTCTCCTGGGTTCAATAATTCACTGCATGGCCACACAGAATTCACAGATTATGGGGTTTATTAGGGAAGCACCAGGCTACAATTCAAGTTCAGGAAAAATGCTCAGTCTCTTTCCCAGCCCACAGTCTCTCTCCTAACAGTCTCTCACAGTCTCTCTCCCAACAGTGAGTGTCCCTCGGTGTCTCACTCAGCAATGCGTGTCTCTTGCATCTCTTTCCC